GATGAACAACAATCTGAGAAAGTACACTGCCAAGTGTATTTGAAATGCATTGCAGGTAACCTTCAAAGTGAAGACGGCACTTGATTGACCTCATGCTAGTACTGTACTCTTAAAATAAGCCTCTTTGTCAGTGTACTTTCTGTGTTTTGTTCTGGGACCCCATTTTGGAATCGGGGTAGACAAACCTATTGTCCATCTTATTAGTATGTCATAAAAAGCGAATACTTGGGGATGCGCTCAAATTGCATGCATCGGGCTAAACGGCAAAGATATCGCAGCCTAGCTGTAAACACCATGTGACAACTGTCTTTTTATGGGCAAACGGTGAAGACGACGACGATTCAAGCACATACCTAATTGTTGATGCCAGGATCACTCCAACAACAGCAGCCACTGCAACTAAAGCTTTGAACATTTTAGCTCGACTGGCCATGGTTGTTTAAGAATTCTGCCACCTGAAGAAGTGATAAAGTATTGTTAGTTAGTTAGTTAATTAGTTAGTTAGTTAGTTAGTTGGTTGGGTTATCATCATTGCACTCCGGACATGTCTATAGGTGCTCAGATCCTCCCCGCAGTATGAACCCCAACGTCCGATGGCTAATAGTTCCAGTTCTATGTTGATTAACAAGTCTTCTGGTATGTCTAGGTCTCTTTTTTTGGCTATGCCGATCTTAATTCCCAAGTCTGCCATTCTGGAGAGTGATGTGTGTTCACTGCCCCCAAAGTCCTCTATACTTCCCATTTCTCTAAGGGCATTAATAATATCAGCATGATTCACAGGCTGACCGTCAGTAGTGATAGCGGACCAAGCCTGCCTATCAGCTCTTTTATTTCCATCGACGCCTGCGTGTCACGGAACAAAAATAAAGGTGACTCCACGCACAGTGGACTTCTGTAACGACTCAAGCCATTGTCTTCGCACCGAACCTGCCTGAACCGTCCGGATCATACTCATTGAATCACTGAGTAAACATACGCGGGTGTATTTTTGTGTTTCTAGCCAAACAAACGCTTGCGTTACTGCCATCACCTCCATCGTCATGCTGCTGGTTGTCATGGAGAAGGCGCCGTTGGCTTCTTTGACTGTTCTGCCAACTGAGCGTTCTGTGAATGCCCATGCGCTTCTATTTTGGCGTATAACAGATCCGTCCCTGCAGATCAGTGCATCTGCTTCGTCTGAGTTTTCACCGATGAGAGCGTTGACCTCTGCAATAACAGCAAGAGGATTCTCTTGTCTACATCGCCTGTTGAGTGTGACAATACAGGAACATGTACAAATAAACGCATGAGGCACAGGTATCCACTCTGCAACAGGGGTGATATCGGTTAGGCTGCATATTTGCCTAAAAACATCTTCTGTCCGACATAACCATAATTTTCCCCTCTTCAGCCGGTCGCCCTTTTCACTAAAAAGCGCTTGATGCAGTGGGTGTTTCTTATCAGCACATATTTTAAAGTATGCCAAAGCCCCCCAGATCCTGATCCTTTGGTTCATAGTTGGAAAGTAAAGTAGAAACCTCATTGCTCCACGGGATATGTCTCTTGTACATCCCAAAATAATGCGCATGGCTTTATTTTGCAGCTTTTCAAGTCGTTCAATCTGGGTAGCACTGACAGTGAGGATGGCCAGAGCGTATTCAATGGGGGAAAGGACCAGACCGTAGAATAGAAGTATTAGTAGTCTTTGCTCGAAATTGGAAGCAGCCATAATCCTCATTGCAGATAGACCTTTGCGTGCTTTTGTTATCACGTGGTCAACGTGTTCCCTGAATAACAAGCTGCGATCGAGCCTCACCCCGAGAAACGTCATAACGTGGGTTCTGATCAATACATTATCACGCATTTTCACTTCTGGTAAGTCCGACTTGACAATGTGATTGTTCAAAGAGAACCATGACACGATGCCTTTGAAAGATTAACATAGGCATTGGGACCATCACACCAGGCGGCTATTCGATCGAGTTCTTTGTGCATTGTGCTGGCGATCTTCTGTCTATCACGCCCTCGTCGATAAATCAAAATGTCGTCAGCAAATGACAAAGTCCTTCCCTTTCCATTCAAAGTGATCATCACCGTATACACGTTGAATAAGACTGGTGATAGCGGTGATCCCTGTGGCAAGCCTGGACATATCGTTTGCGGTTCTGACGACCAGCTACCCACATCTGAGTACAATCTTTCTCTGGAACAGGACCACAGCAATCCAGCGGATCAGAATAGGATTTACTTCTAGTTTAAGCAGTAATTGCATTAAATATTCATATGGTACTTTATTGTAGGCATCTTCTAAGTCCAACACTGCCGCACATGTCTCTTCTTTAATCTGAAATCCCTGGTAAGCATCGTAAGCAAAAACTGCAGCATTGAACAACGTCTCTTTATTCAACCCGTACCCTTCAAGTTTTGGTGGGAACTTATCGAGTAGCTCCAAGTAGGTGGTCAATCTTCTTGCGACAATTTTTCTCCAAAAGTTTGCCAACAGTATTCTGCATCGAGATGATTCTGTAGCCGCAGATCTTTGAGTGGTATTTATTCGGCTTCGGTAGTGAGAACAAATAACTGTGGAGCCATTCCTCTTGTATCTGGCCACTCTGGATGCTGATACTGAATTCCTTTGCCACGCTTTTCAAATCAGCATTCGACATCATCAGCATGTCCTTGTAGGATACCACCAGGGCCCGGAGCAGTGCTGCGCGATTTCTTGAGGCAAGTTCTTAAGGTATCTGCAATGATTGTAAAATCAGTGCCTAGCACAATGTTCTCGCACAGCATCGACAGTTTCATCTTAACCCCTATTCTTGCAGCTTCGTCTTTCTGGTCAGTTTGCTCCAAGTAGCGCGCAAGAAGGGTTCTTCCTTTATCAGCATCAGTTCTCCGCCATGTCAGGAATTGTTGCTGAAGGCTACGTGAAGATAGTGTTGCAATAATGTGAGAAGCCACGCAGTCACAAATATGAAATAACCAACAGAGTCCAAGATACCCTAAAAACACTGCCTTCCATGTCTACACTATTTTATGATAAAAGGTAGAGATCATGTTTTGCACTTATATCCATGTGTGATAGCAAAGCAATGTGTTGCAAAAACATCCGGAAATTATTTTTGTTTTAACTAGTCTTCTTCTCTTCTTCTTCGCTTTCACTGGCTGTAAACTCTGGTGGAAAATTCTGATTGTTCACCCACTTTTGGACTGCAGTCTTGTTCCAGAACCTGGGTGTTGCGTGTGCATCCGTTTTACAGATCTGACATATATGTATGCAGACTGCTGGTTCCTTGCCTCTCAGGCAGATGCATTCCGACTTCGAAGAAAGCTCCCAATTAGTCGACTCTTACGACATATTTTTGGGTACGCAGTGGGTCTTTTCTTGTTTTCCCTATAATAGGGCCCCAGGGCCCACACGGGGATGTTTAATTAGTAAATTCGGTTGCAAAATATAATACGTTTATAGTGACAACTATATTTCAAATCTGGATTCATCTGGGTAAAAGATTTCACATCACAGCGTTCCGGACAAGATCATATTATCTCTGTCTACCTGCTCAAAAGATAGCGAATCGTGTCTATGCCATTTGGTATACTACTCGCTTTGCCTTCTCTCGAGTGGCGTTCCTCAAGTATCATTCTCTCCAGGTATTGATTTTCGCTTTCTTCTATTTTCACCTGTTTCCCTGCCCCACACGTTTGAGACCATCTCTGCCTTGTGCAAATGCAGAACACCCGACAATTTGGCCATTCCACGAAACCTATGGGCCTGCTCATCTCCAAACACAACTGAATGGCTGAGGCATAATATTCACGTTAATCTCACAACCCACGGCGTCTGGATTAATGAAATCCATTCCACAAAAAAAAAAAAAAAAAAAAAAAAAAAAAAAAACATGAACTTGATTCCCCTTCCTGAGCATGTTTTGCGAGAATCACACATTATGACAACATGTATGGTTTAGATTTATCCACCCATCGGAGCACCGCAGTTACCGCCTCAACCTCCATTCTCCTGTTGGGTGTGGTGATGTATATCCCAAATTCTCTTCAGTTGTCCTTCTACCTCATGCTTTTGCAACGACTCCTCATCCACTTTTCCTGCCCCTGGCAACTGGTTAGTGTACATAATCACACATCCTGACCTAGAAATGTTATCGACCAGCTGTTGAACCTCTGCATCTGCACGTCTCGCCACCCATTCACTGCACTCTTTCCGAATTTAATTATCACTTTGATAAGCTCTACTCCGCCCTCTGGTGCCTTAACCCAGTTTTTTTTTCTCGCCAAATTTATTAAATATTGTAGAGAATATTGATTGTATTTTTCAGCCTGAGCTATCTAGGATCTGCTCCTCTTTGGTGTGTCACTAATTACAGTGTCCAGTTCCGTATTCAGGATGTGTTCTGTATCACTTGACACTCTAAGATAGTACCCCAGCTGCAGTATACCATGTCTATCAGCACAGGTTGGCATAGCCAAGATATGTCTCATACATACGACTGGTGTATCTCTTGTGTATCCTCAAATAATTTGCATAGCTTCGTTTTGTATGCCTTCCAATGTCTCCACTTAAATTTTTGACACGGTTAGCCTCTCTATACCATATTCAATGGCTGACATGGCAAGGCTCTGACTGAGTGTATATAACATTCTTTTATTAACATCAGCAGCACCCAAAACCTTTAGTGCATTAAATCCTTTCTTTGCTTTTGCAATAACTATATCGACTTGGTCTTTGAAGTCAGTTCCTCTGTCAAGTGTAACATTAATCAAATATATTTTCAATGGAAACTATGTGGATGACTCTCAGTTTTCAATTATCCGAAACGAAATTGAGACATCGACTTGGGGTTATGACAGACTGTGTGTGTATGTGTGTGTGTATGTGTGTGTGTGTATGTGTGTGTGTGTGTAAGTGTGTGTGTGTGTGGGGGGGGGGGTAATTGTGTGTGTGTTGGAGGAGGGGGGGGGGTTGTTATGAAAAGACGAATAAACCAAAACAAGCAATAATTTAACAGTAATTCAATAGATTACTAATTAGCAGATATAATTTTTTTTTTAAATAATAAAATTAGCTTCAGCTTAGGAAACGTTACATAAGTATTGCACTAAAGAGACAACAATAATTTAATACATAGCTTAATGATCGACAAATTCTCTTTACAAAAATTATCTACAGTTTTCCAAATGCTAAAAACAGCGTGGGGCGCCTAACAAAAATAATATTTCACAAGTCTGGTCAAATAAGTAGGTAGGTAGTGTCCCGTGCGGATATGCACTAAAACACACCAATACTGACTGAGCAAAAAGGACGTCAAAACAATACGTAATGTTGTTGAGGAATTGTAATATAGGAGACTGGAAGTCGAAATTTGACCAAGGCGGACGTGTGGTCCGGCTTTGGTGTGGATCCTTGAGGACGTTTTACATCTGGATGCCACGGCAGCA